ATTTTATTTATAATACCTATGGTCTTATTGCTTGAATTCGTTTGAAAACAAAATTTTGATTCGATACTCTCACTAATTAAAAATCTTTAATATAAAATCTATATTATAATATTATTATGTATGCTATATTGCTATATACTATTCGTTTACGTCAAACACACGATATAACAATTTGAAGAGGAAAAAAATCGTTTAGTACTGTTATAAAAACAATAACAACCATAAAAAAACGGCATTTAGTCTGTAAATTGTCCCATACTCCCATAGTACTTGTTAGCTTGTAATGCTTGCATGTATGGCTTATATCTATTAGTAACTCGTGCGTAATATACATTATTGTTTGCTGCTTAACGACTTAATTAAACGCAATTTTAAAATTATTTCCATACCCACAGACACAAACGGAGCTCAGTGAAGTTCAAAAACATTTGCCACACATTCTTTGTTTAGACAATTTACGTAGCAACTAATTTCCCGTCGCTAATGGTTGTTGTGTGTGTTCATACAAATTAAAAGCGTAGTATGTAATTATTATTATCACTGTAGCCTGCAGGTAGTAGTAAATTATGCATAATAAAATAATAGTAAATTCTAATAATATTTGTTACACATAGAAAAAAATTATAACCAGAGAAAATAAATAGAAAAATAGAATAATATTAAATAATTGGGATATAAAATAAAAATTAAATTTATAAAATCAAGGAAAATTAACCATCATAGGCTTCAAGTGTATTTGTTCTCTAAGACTTTTGCTTCGAGTAATGCATCTTGAAATATATTAAACTAAATTTAATTATTATATTATTCCATTACTTGGTAAAAATTAATACCTAAGTAACTATAGATTGTTACATTAAAAACATAGACTTGTATCAACTACCAATGTTAATAGCTACCAAGCAGTAGCATATCTAGGACCTTCTGGGGAGGGAGGTATATTTGTCAATAATAACAAGAAAACATATATTTTTAAGGTAACTTAAATAATTAATCATTTATAACAAAATTGCAAGATTTCTTAATTTTTTTGATGCTATTAAGAAAAGTACCAGAAAAATATATATTTTAATATAATTTCGGTAAAAAAAAGTACCCGGATAAAGTCGTGCCCGAAAAAAAAAGTCTACAATAGTATTTGACGAAAATTATATTGAAGGTACATTAAGAAAAGTTAGAAAAACAGACAAAGGAATATGTTGAACAGCATGTTAACGTTTTTCTGAAGGCAAATCAGATATTCCTAGTTTCTTAAAACCAATATGTCAAAATATAGGAATGAGATCTAATATATTTAAGTAAATACATTTTTTTATTTTTTTTATTTTTATATTAATCAAACATACAAGATTAAAAATATTTCTAAAAATAAAATATTTTAAGTAATTGATTAAATGATTATAATTTATATTATATTTTATATAGGTATGTTTTTTTTAAATAATTTTTTTGGTTACTTTTTTGGTTTATCAGTTTTTTGGCTAGTTTGTCAATAATTGCATCGAGCCATCGACATAAAACGAAATATGTCCATTTATAGTTATAGCCGCTAATCCATTAAGCCTAGGCGTATAGCCTGATATAAAAAATTAATTAATTTCTTGTAAGGAATCAAATTTATGGTTCTCTTATTAAAATGGTAATTCACTAATTTTAAATAAAAGAGATCGAAGAAGACCAGAGGACTTCAAAACAAACATGGCTTGATGTTAGAAAAGACCTGGGGAAACTAAAACCGAATTGGAAAAGAAACCTAGAACTAACTTAAGCAAGAGAGATATAGAATAAATTGGTTTCAGAAGCAAGGAGAGTGGATGGCTCGTAAAAGCTAAAAAAATAGCGGGCAAGTGGAAATCGCCATGTCAATAAATTTTTATCCGTTGGGTCAAAGACCTTTAAAATGTAATAGACATCTTTACATTTATAAAAATAAATAATGTCTGTGATAAAAACTATAAATGGACCAAATGTTAATATACTTTTCTACAAAAAATACCAGCAAAGGCTAACTACATAATATTAGAATACCAAAAAAAATGTAAACATCATATTCGTCAGAAAAAAAACATGATAATATTATAATAAAATATTCTGTACAATGTATAATAATATACTCATACAAAGTAATATCTATAGCATGTAAGCTTTTGATTTTGAAGAAAGTCTAATCGAATTCGTTATCTCAAAAGCTATAAAAAAAAATCAAGCACACCTTTTGACTCACTTTATTATAAATTATAATATATAGTTTGTAAGAAAAAAATTAGTAATATCAACTTAGTGTGAAAATTAACAAAAAAATGTATATTCAAAAATACTAGGTACCTATGATAATATAAATTTTATTTAGTATTAGTATTATAAAATATTATTTATTTAAATTTCAGTTTCAAATTCTTGACAAAACAAATATTTGAGTTAAAAATGAAACCATACATTTTTTAATTTTTTTGAGCCCAAGAAGGGCCCCCTCTATTTATGGATTTTAAGTTCAGTTTTTGGAGGACATATTTTGATTTTCAATTAGATATGATTATTTTAACCAATCTACCCACTGCAGTATAACATTCTGCAGCGTATTTTAAAGGTATACAATTGAAACACATTTTTTTTTTTATAATAATAAATACAGTTTCAAATGTACATAAATATATATTATACATTTGAAATATAAGCGGAAATATGAATAAAATAAATTTTGCACATGCCATTGATTGAGATGAGCTGACATATTTTATTTTTTTTTTTTTAATCGAGTTATTTATAATTTATTATTAGTTAATACAAAATATTTTGTTTGCATAACCTTGAATATAAATTTGTTAAATATTATACATAATATTAAATATCCAATAAATTACTATAATCCAAGAATGAGCCAAAATATATTTCCTTAACTACCTGTATCTACCTATTTAAATTAAATATATTATAAGAATTATGCAAAAATTACATAATTTACAAATTTTAACAGATAGTCACTTTAAATAATATTATAATATTATAATATACATAATATAGGTATTTAATATAAAATTATGTTTATATACAATAATATATTATGTTTATCTAAACAGTAAACAACGCGAGAATCTAACATGCAGAAAATACAAGTGAATAAAATAAATTGAATATTAATAATAATACATTTTAAGCTCATATATGGGTATCTTTTTTATCATATATTATTATATTATATTATATTTTTGTCATATAAAATATTTACATATTTTTATTTTTTCAAACTATTTTTTCTTTCAGTTTTATAAATTACTACCTAACAAAAATAAATACATATACATTTGTTATATGCTATGATAATTTAAAGGATAGTATAGTTTTAAAAAATCAGATGCTAATGTAGTAACTACAGATGTTACTACCTATGTATTTTTTTGAAATCAATTATTCAAAGGCAAATCTTCAACAAATCTAATTCCAAATTAAACCAACGATGAATAGACAATGGTTGAAAGGTAAATATGTACAGTAGTTGCCGCTTATTGGACTCGCATTGAGGCCCGGGTATTTTAGTCCGTTAAATGAATGAGTCAATAAGGCGAAAGGTTTAAGAATTCCATATCAATACTAATTAATTCATTACTGTGTATTTCAAAAATATTTTGTCATTTGTACAGAAAAAAAAATGGAAAATGATAGCAATAAAAAAAGAAAATTTTTTTCAAAAATGTTATTTTATGACTTCAAAATATGAAAAAAAAAATATTTTTAAAGACTTTCAATACTTTTTGAGGTGATGAGTTGATAAAATGGTATTAATTATCAAAATATGTTCGATAAAATTGGTAAAATGGACTAAAAAATTAGAGAATATCTCTTTAAGAATATACATTGATCCCATTAACCAGTGTAATAAGTCCAACAGAAAAAATATTGTTTTTATGTATAGTACCTATATACCTATGTTTAAATCAGGACCAGCCTATTTGAATCCAAAAAGCTGAAACTACTGTATAACATTATAATAGATGACAATTGGTATCTGCATTTAGTCAAAAAACTATTTTGCTTAAACATGATACACCTTTAAAAGTTTGGACTAATTAACAATTTAACTGAATCAAAAGTTTCTAAGTTTTTCTTAAATATTAAAAACTTACTGAATTACCTAATTCAGTACTGATTTAAGCCTTTAACACAACATTAAATTTACAATATTAGTTTACTGACTTGAAGCTAATAATGTAGACCAACTGATATTCGAAAAAAGAAATAATGTTAATCAATTTAACATTGTCACATTTAACATTTCATTAGAAATAAAAAAAATGATCCTAATGGTTAATAGTTTCTAGTAAATTTATTATTATTATCTAACCTACAAGAAAAATATTGGTAAAATAATGTTTAACACTTCACAATTAAATAAAATACCAAATGATTAGAAGTTGATATGTTTTTTTATATTAAACGCTAAATATTATAATATTATTAATTATATACAGACATTATTGGTAGAAATACTATTATCCACATTTAAACTTAAATTCTGTTCAAACAATTATTTGGGAATGACCAAGACGGTAAGGTTCATTTAACCACAATTCCCATCTTACGCACTAATTAACCACATAATATAATCACAATAAAAAAAAAATAATAATACTTGGTACATCTCGAGGTATATACACATTTTTAAAATTAAAAATTATAATATATTAAACTACTATTGCAGTACATATCATTTATTCATAATACTTTAATTCATAGCTAGAAGTTACAAGTCTCATCTTCATTCCACATAATATATAAGATATCTGATATGTTATAATTTAGAACTTGCATATTTTATCCAAATCTAACGTTATTGGTTAATTTAGTATAAAAACATCAAACATGTATAAAACCATAGGTAAAACACTTATCATTAAAAAATATTAATATCCACAATTACCCATACTATACTTGTGTATCCATAATACATTACTAATCAAAAAATAAACGTAGGCAGATATTTAATGTACAAGAAAAAACCTTACCTGGATGAAGTATCACTGAAATTCCCGCCATCCAGTAACCGAACTTTGGCAAACAACACAGCATTGACAAATGGGACGGCTGTTAAATCTTCAAGGCAAAGATTAACAGTAAACTTGTATCGTTTCTTCTTCACCATGAATGACATTTTGACCCTGTATATGCGTAATGTTAGTAAAGCCAATACAATTTGAACAATCACACATTTCATATGTAATATATCACAACTTGTTATACAGATCAATCAAACTAAATGTATGTATACCTACTAATAATAAGATAGTATATAATAAGATTTAGTGACAATGAGGGGGAAAATCAAAATGCATATTTGCCATATTACAACCATTAATCTTATTGTTGACGAATGTGTGTACTGTGTATGTGTCTACGTGAATATTTGTGTGTGTACGACTATGTGCAATGCACAACAAACAAACATTGTAATGTAAAAAAATAAAAAACTGACGATATTGACCAGTGATAACAAGTTTGTGAGACCAGTTTATGATGAAGGTAAGTATAATTTACCTGCAGGAGCGTCAGTGGATCATCTACTCGTTAAGCAGCATAGAGTTCAAATTCTGGAGGTTTCTTGACACAAGAAGAATAAACACACTGCAACACTCGTTTAGAATGTGATAAATGTAAAAAAAATTAATCGACGGTTCCCTCCCGAGGACACGAAACGGAAGAACAACTTATGTGAAAATTAAAAAATGCAAAATTTTTACCTAACGACCGACGACGTGCGATTTTGCGACTACATACAGCATAAATACACACTTACATTTCACTGATACATATTATGTGCAACGTACATTATATATACATATATAATTTATATATATATATATTTTATATATAAATATATAATATGTATATTATATTATATATTTTATTGCTATTTAGATCCCTACGGGAAAGTCGACGTCGCCGTCGGGGCAAAACAATAACACTTGACAACAAATAACAATATCGGACGGAAGGCAACGACTGAGACAGAGACACCGCCGCCGCCTATCATATGTTTTTCATTGCGAGCGTCAGCGCCATCTATCCGCCGAATTTCGCCCACGTTACTTATATAATATTATTTTGGCGCGCTGCCAAGCAGGATTTTCTAAGACCGACGACCGTGCACAGAACTATCATAATATTAAAATATCTTAAACACAATCACGTATATTATACTATTTTACGTCCGTAGACGGCGACACGGCGTATGCATAATTGTATGATAATATTGTCAATTTATAGTCAATAGGCATAGACATGAATACATGAATACTAAAAATATAGAGTATTAGAATATGGAAAAATAGAATAATCCGAATAGGCTTCAAGGGCATATACCTATAAAGAAATGGACTGATAGGCGATAGTGTAGAGAGCTCTCTCTCGAATCCGGCGGCCAACATTGTTAGAAAAGATAGAACACAATTTAGTCCATCTATTATCACGTTAATACTGAATGAGAGAGACGTAAATATGGTATAAATCTGGGGGAGTCTAGAAGTATAAATTAACATAATTTATTATACTTACTAAGTCAATTTGGGAAATATTTGATGGACTTCGGTAGTCTTTTGAGAGGCTGAGCCCCACAAGTCCTTCCCCCTAATTTACGTCTATGGAGAAAGGCAGTGGCGGATCTAGGATTTTTTTATGGGGGGTGCTTAGGTTAAGGTATAATATTGTATTCTGTATACTACATCCTGATGGCATGACATTTTTTTAGTCCTAATTGGCAATTGCACATAAAGCACATTGCTGAATATTTAAAAGGATAAAGATAAGTGACAACTTTAAAAGTGCATCTAAAACAAATACCTTTATTTAAAAAAAAATAAAACATAAAAATGTAAACAAGAAATTTAAATTATATCACATCCACTTATTGTATTTTTTATTTCTTAATAATTGATTGACAAAAAACAAATTAAAATGATTAGGACATTTTGACCAATCTTCTAATTCTATCCTTCTTTTTTTTTCCAAGCGAAGGTGTCAACTACTTAAGATATCTATAATTTTTAAATGTATAATAACAAAGTATTAAAGTCAGTGGCGTATATAGGCTCCCTAGGCCAGAGCCCATAGTTAAATTGCAGGTTCAATTAAACCATTTCATGTATATCAAACATGTTTACAGTTTTTCACCATGATTAATTTAACCGGTTAATTAAAATCGTTTTGAAGAATCAACAAGGAAATGTTAGGTTGTCTGGACTTGCTTTGATGACTTTTGTGTTAAATTCACAATAAGATAACATTAAAATATATATTATGTATATATGAAATTGTCAATATTTTTTAAAAAAGAATTAAAAATGAATTTTACATAATAATTATAAAATTGAATTGCTCAATTTTTATTTGTATTTATAACCACCCAGCTCCTTAAAAAATGTATAGTTATGGCTATGTTAGTCTCACTATGCTGACTAGTGATAAATTGGCCCATTATGAAAATAATTTGTACATACGCCACTGATTAAAGTAATAGACAAAATTATTATTTATAATAATACCGTGGATTTAAAATAGTATAATCGGTATTCGGTGATAACACTAGTGATAACTATTATTCTATTCTGTGTAACTACTAGATAATATTATCTACATCGTGGAAAATATCTATGATTTAAACAGTAAGATACTAAACCCAATATTCATGTCTGATACCCGTGACCCGTGGGTTGTATCATAGAACAATATTTATTTATAGTTGTATCGTTCCATTTTTCAGTCACTTCTGGTTATCGCTTATCTCAATTGTTGAGGGAAAAATTACTTATAAAAAAAAAAAATAATATTATTTATTTTGTTACCGATTTAGTATAACGTACCCGGCCCACTGAAAAATATGTATAGTATATAGTATTTGTTTTTAACCAGGTAGCAACATGCCAAGGGGGGTGCTATAGCACCCTAGCACCCCCCTCTGGATCCGCCACTGGAGAAAGGGGATCTTTTCTGTTATACGTTTACCACGTCAGTGACGCCCGCTTTGCCACTCCCTCGCTGCGCTGAGCTCGGACAAAAAAATCAAAAATTTTTCTCGACTTGTTATGCAACACCACCTTAATTGTATAACGACTATTAAATTTAAATAGTGTTATACCTATTAAGAGTAGATATACGGCGGTTACCTTGTGACCAACTTGGGGTGGTGTTGCATAATATGTTTGCAGATATTTTTGATTTTTTTGTCCGAGTGCAGCGCAGCGAGCTAGTGACAACGCGGGAATCACTGACGTCCCTCCAAAAAGGGGTAAACCGTAAAGAAGGAAATGGTATATAGACGTATTATGTATAACAGAAAAGATCCGGGACAGGAAGATGTTTAGCAACAAACTACAAAGAGAACAACAATCATAGAAAAAATAGCATTATAGCCTAGGTACACAATTTAGATCCCATCATAATGTATATATTCACTGCACAGGTAGGTATTAAATATCTATTTCTAACAATGTTGGCAACCTATAGCAGGGTATGCGTAATTGGGACGCGCTGCAGTTCGTATATATTAATATGTCTATAATGATAGGTGTGATTATAACGTCACCGTGACGCACCGTAGACAACATTATATTACTATAAACTAATCTCATGACACTATACCTCACACAGTGTCACACCCAAATCATATTTTACTCTTCAAACTTATGTAATACGGTGTGAAGTCGTGAAGATGAATGCCTAGATCCTTGAGCCTACTCCAATTTGCACTCCATAAAAGTAATCCTAAAGTTTAAGGATAAACTTAGAGGGGTACTAAGGGTACTTATACTCCTTAGCACCATGGGGCCTGCATTTTAATGTAAAATAAAATCCAAAATTATTGTCTTATATAGGTATATTATTATTATAACGATATATTACTCAAAATAATCCTATACTCTGTCCAGCGAGACACCATGCCACGCACCGACGAAAACTGGTTCCCCCGATCAACAACTTGCCATAAAGGGGCCAGGTTTCGATAGTATGGTGCGCCGTGGGATGCATAGAAATTAGGATTTGCGTGCTCTCTCACTGAACAGAGTATGTAATAAATAGGACTCAATTAGTATATTTTTCGTTTTCCAATAGCGAACTCAAAGAGTATATTTATTTTTTTTATGTTCAGGACTTCAGGTAGATATAGGGACTCAATTAGTATGGACCGAATTTATGGATGATCATTCCAGGGTCCACACCCTCCGGATACAAAGACCAAGAATTTAATAATTACAATCACCGTTTTTAAATGTACCATAAAACACACATATTATTGTTAATTTTGAATTACGAATAGGTGCTTGAAACAATTTTTTGAAAAAATCTGTTAACTTCACACCCATCCACGCCACGGCGAAAACCGTTGACAGTATCTGCAGAGGGCATGTAAGCTCCTCCACAAGTACCTTTTTTTACTGTAAACTCCACCAGTAAAAAAAAACAGGTAAAATCAAATGTATGTAAGCTCCGCCACAGAAAAAAATCAGGTAAAATTTAGTTTATGTAAACTCCACCAGTGAAGAAAATCAAGTAGCAGTATAAAATTAATATAATATATTATTATTAAAAAAAAAAAAAAATAATGATAATAATAATAATTAATAGTCGTCCACCTTAAAATATAATAGTTATACCTATATAAATAATACATTTTACATAAAATATATCAAAATTAAGCCAAAAATGTATAAAAATTAAAAATTACTAACCTAACAGCTAAGAGTATATATAATTGGTATAATATAATATTCGTAATTTTCATAATATTAATTAATAATCGTCCACATTAAAATATAATAGTTAAGTAAATAATACATTTTAAGTAAAATATATCAAAATGAAGCCAAAAATAAATAAAGTTAAAAATTCTCTGTAGTATGACTTTCACTCTATAATCGTCAAGTATACGTAAGTTACCGCGACTGCCGATATCATCATTGGAATAGTATATTGTGTGGCAAGGGCGGGAAGTGAGCCATTTCAGTCGCGGGCGTCGTGTGCGGCACGAGCCGTAGGCGAGTGCCGCATTTCGCACAAGACTGAAATGACCTTCCCGCGCGAGCCACACATACTATTTTTTGTCACGCCCCTGCGTTCATGGAAAAGGTTATGCAGGGATCTATGCGTCATGCAAGGAGG